AGCCTCATGTATGTCGTAATATAAGAAATAATAATAAAATAAAATTTCTAGTTGCTGAAGAAGTCCCAATAAAGGGACGAAACGTCCAACTAAATCAAACWAAGTTCTACTTCTTTCATGTCCAAGTTCCCTGTTAAATTTTATCATTAAAAATTGTAATTTTTGGACGAGAGAAATACTAAATAAATAATATTAATATTATTAATATATAATAAAAAAAAAGATATATAAATAAAATATGGTACAAAGGATATACTAAATCGTTTCGATTATTTGTTTTAATAATAGATAATATAAACAGAATATAGTAGAATGTATCAATAGTGTTCGAATATTAGATCGTCGGATAACTAAAGGTTCCACCGTATTTCGTTCATTCGATCTTTCCTTTTTCTTTTTGTTTTTTTCTTTTTCTTTTTCTTCTTCTTTTTCTTCGTTGTCGTCGTCGTCGGTTACCTCTAACCCACTTTTCTTCTCCGTTCGATCGAACTCGACTTCCGGTCGGAAAGTTTCCGTTATATTATAGTACAAATACTAATCCACCTATTTCGAATTTACTAAGAATATCGTTCCATTTATTTATTTTTTTTTCTTTCTTTTCCTTTTCTTTTCTTTCCTTCAATTTCCTAATCCTTACAACAAATGATAGAATATTTTCTTTGGCGGGGGAGAAAAAAAAATAAATAAATAATAATAATGAGAAGAATAAGAAGAAGAAAAAAAAATCAAGAATTGTACAGAGAAAAAAAAGAAAAAGGTGCAATTTGATGACACGGAAGGGAGGAGAAGAAAAAGAAGAAAAAAAAATAAGAAGAATACCAGTAGTAGGGTGGGTGGTGGTAGAAACGATGGTGGGTTATGGTGTTGTTAGTGGTATGGTGATGGTGTTGTTGTTGGCAGGATAGAGACGAGGGAGCGGCCAAGAGATAAAAAAAGAAAAAAAGAAAAAAGAAAAAACCATCGAAGGAAAGATAGTAGACGGACGTGGTAAAAAGTCGAATGCTCGGTGGTAAAACGGCGGAAGAGCGTTTCCTCGAACAGACTCGAAAGCCAACTACTACTACTACTACTACTACTACTACTACTCTACTACTACTACTACTACTACTACTACTAACTTTATCTTCTCTCTCTCTCTCTCTCTCTCTCTCTCTCTCTCTCTCTCTCTCTCTCTCTTTCTATCAGTAACACAACTCGGCGGTGGCCTAACTGCCGTGGCTCACGCATGTGCACGCACGCACCTTTTCGTGCAACTCGATCACAGGGTTCTGGGAGGCGGGTGAACGGTTGGTGGTAGGGGGGGAGGAGGTGGTGGTAGTGGTGGTTAATGTAAAACGATTTGTTAAATCATCTTCGATTATTGGCACTCGTTTAAAAAGGTATGTCGTCTTTTTTTTTATTTTATTTTAAGGATTAGGCGTTAAAGAAATTGATCCTTCTTTTTTTTTTTCGGTTCGCAACATTTTTATACGCAACTATTGAGGTAGTTTTATTCTAACATGAATCGTCTATTATCGTCATTTTTTTTTTTAAATTTATCTCTCGTTTCGTGTAACCGGGGAGGGGAGAGAGGATTATCGATTGATTGGGACACATCGTTTTAAGGATTAATAATAAAAATTAAATAGAAAAAAAAAAAGAAAAAAATGAAAAAGTCAAGATTAATCGTAAAGAATCTTTGGTTAAGATATATACCTGGACTGCTAAGCGAATAAGATGACGACGAGGAAGAGGAGGAAGAAGAAGGAGTGGGGGTGGGGGGAGGGTTTATACGAAGAGTAGGACGAGTGGTGAGACACACAAAAGGGTTCACGACGCGCCGAATTAGTCTCTCTCGGCGGTAGTGAAATAATGGCTGAATAGGTTTCCTCGAGAAATGGCGGAAGTCGTTCGATGAATGAGCCGGAAGACCTCACTCCGAACCTTACAATGGTGACCACCACCGTACCGATCCCGGTATTACGGATCAAAACATCCTTACCGATCCAACAGATCCTTCCGCGATCTGTCGTCGTCGTCTTCTTCTTCTTCTTCTTCTTTTTCCTCTTCTTCTTCTTATTTCTACCTGGCGACACTAATCGAAAACGACTGCGCCAAATCGTCTCCGTAAACCGAGGATCCGACAAATCCACACTTCTCCACGACGGGAAGTCAAATGTCAGATCATTTTTTTTTTGGTTTCCTTTCCTAGCCCCTTTCCCTCCCCCGCCTGCCCCGCGTATTCCCCTAGTTTCTCAACGAACGTTAAATTTTCTTGACAACTTTTAACACTTCGCTAACGACCGTTCTACTTCTTCTTTTTCTTTTTTTTTTCATGAGATTTCTCGCGATTCATTGGTGAAACGTGAAAAAAGAAAAATGACAACGAGATTTGCTCGTTTTTTACTTTGTTTGTTGTATTTTTTTTTCAATCTCTCTTCTCTTTTCGTATATTTCGTTGTATTCGTAACACTTTTGTGCAAAGGTAACTAGTTGTGAAAAATATTTTTTACTTCTACGTAATTAATTGAACTTATTTTAACAAGATGAAAAGAAACAATAATATCTTTACAATATATATCAATTTTTAGGTAAACAAATATCTGAATTTTTCATTCCCTCTACCTCTTCCCAAAAAAAACAATATATAATCAAATATATAATAATTTGTTAAAGAGATTTTTTAAGTGTTAAAAAACACATTTATGATGAACATCAAAAATCGTTGTTAAAAAACAAAACAAAACAAAAAAGAAAAGAAAAGAAAAGAAAAGAAACGAAAAGAAAAGAAAAGAAAAAAGATGTCGGAGACGACGGCGTACCCCCACCACTCGCTACTTCCCCCACCACCGAGAAAGCGCAAAGAGCTATTCGTCCTCTTCTCTTGTAACCGCTTCTCTCATTCGGAGGTTGTCAATCCGGTCAATGAGGCAATCACGTACGTCCTGTCCAGCTCTACGTACGTACAAACGTACGTACGACGTTCGAGCATGGCGCAGAGAGAAGAGAATCTTCTCTCTTCTTCCCCGTCTCTCATTCTCTCTCTTCCTCTCTCTCTCTCTCTCTCTTTCTCTCGTTAATCCGATCTCGTCGGCTTTTACTCGGTCACGATTGGTCATTGACATTGCGTCGCTGCTGCTCCTCGGAAATCAGGGACGTCCTCGTCGTGCCAACGCGATAACAACACCAATCTTTGCACCACCATTTCGTTTATTATTATTTGCTTTCTTCTTCCCCCTCCCCCATCTCCCACCCTCCTTATATCAGCGTCTCTTTTGAAAAGACGTAAAAGGGGGAGGAGGAGGAGGAGGGGGATTTATACGAACAATTCGACGTTAATTGGTTCGAATTAACATCCTTCGTAAAAGGGGTGGGGGTGGAGTAAATGGTTAGGGGAAAGAAGAGAAAGAGAGAGAGAGAGAGAGAAAGAGAGGAAGGGGTGGGGGAAGAAGCATAATTTCGTTCAAACTTTTTATCTAAAATTTGTTGTTTTTTTAAATAATATTATTATAAATTAATACTTATATTTTGTCGAACGCGTGCGATAAAATAATAATAATAATCCGACGACAACCAAAAGTAGCATTCTCTTCTCGTGGATACGATATTTTTTTCTTTTTTTTTTAAGGGATGCCTCAGTGTTTCTTTTTTTATTTCTTTCTTCTTTTTTTTTTTCAATTTATTTATTTTTGTATTATATATATATTCGTTAAATAAAAAATATCGTTCGTATGTCTACGTTAAAAGATATATATATATATATACACGTATAATATACGATGGGGGTTATTTATTTAGGTACGAGGTAAACTTATCGAAAGCTTGTCGTCTCAAAGGCGACCGGAAGTCCGTTGCCGCGAAAACACGTTCTTAGAGAGAGAGCTGGGGCAAGGAGAGGCACGTTTCGTTTCTAACAGGCACGAACGATCCAGAAATGGGAGCCGGTCGACCCTGAATGATATGGCTTCGTGGCGTGACGAAGATCAACGCAGTTTCTTTTCGAACAAATCCCCAATACCGTTTTTTTCTTCTTCTTATCCCTACCACCACCCCAAACTCCAAGACGATCTTTGATTTCTTTTCCTTCTTTTTAGTTTTCAATAAAAGATAGCGAATTTGTTATAGACAAAAGTATGAGGGGGTGTGTATATATATTTATGTATATATACAAATATGGATTATGTATATGTGTATTACTCGTTTAAAAATCGTAAAGCATGCGTGTCTGATGTATGAGAGGGGTAAGGGAAGGGGTAGGGAGATCTGGTCTTGCAACAGGCGAATTGTTGTTAGTTGGCACGTGATATAGTTTCTTAACTAATCTAAAGAAACTTGGTTTGCACGTGACGGAAACGTCTAATCCCTTTTTCCACGCGAATTAACATTAGAGTTGATATTTTCGATAATATATATCTGATGTGATACTTTCGAATAAACAGGCGTAGGCACAGGATATGTCTGTTGATCAGTCGCGAATCCTGTTTAACTTTTACGTAATGATGGATAATCAATCATTCTATCCGATTAACAACATTTTAATTGATTTTTTGTTTATCCTTTATCTTTAGCGCTCTAATCGATTATTATTATTATTATTATTATTATTATTATTATTGTTATTATTATTATTATAATGTGATAGGATTATTATGTTTTTAATTTTTTTTCTAGGATAGCGAAGAAGAATTGCCAGAGTGTTCGGATCGTAGCGAAGTATGCAGTAAAGTGGATCTTTATGGTGCACCATGGGTCGAGAGACAATGTCGTTGTCCAGGTGGCCGTGCTTGTCCTAGTAGCCTTCACGCGGATGATGGACACACGATAGTCGATAAAACTCGACAATATAAATTATGCGAACCCGTTAAACGGCTTCCCATTTGTCGATATTTCAAGTGAGTAATAATGGTGGTCGTACTTTATTTTATCAATCTTTCAACAAGAAATTGCTGCGAACGTATGACGAGTATATATCTCGTTTTTCGTATTTTATTAAAAAAAAAATATTATGAAGCAAATAAACAAACACAAAAATACCTATACCATTAGGTACAGTGGGTGTTAGCTAATGTTTTGTATACGATTACGTGTTAAGTGGCGTGTTGATTTTGATAGTACATGTAACGAGATAAATAAGTTCTTAAAAAATACTGTATTGGGTGAAACCGTGTTATATACGAGACCCCCCCCCCATAGTTCATTACTCCTTCGCGTTAATTATTTTCAATTAATTTAATTTTTAAATATATGTTATGTGCAAAAATTCATGTTTATCAAGTGTTGTACAAAGGTTTGTCAGAATTTTCTTATCGTGTTAGGGTTCCCCCTCCCACAATTATATAAGTCGTGTTATAGGATACTACCACGTGATAGGAGGGTTATTTGATATTTTCAATAATGACGTAACCTCATAACATTTTTGTTTTATTGAAAATAATTTTAGGATAATAAATGTTTCAGGGATGTCACGTGGACGTTAGCACCCGGAGGAGGACCAGCTAATGCAACGGTGCAACGTGTACATTGCCGATGTCGTCCCGGTAGTGTACCCTATCTCGTCCGAAGACAACCCCATATCTCTCCCGAGGGGAATTCCGGATTCATATATGCTTTTGCCTGTTCGCCACAAAGCGTAAGTCATATTCTTCATGTATACAAATTCATATTTTTTTAATTATTATTTTAATATCTTACTGATCAATTGTTCGCCCCCCTCTCTCTTCTCCTTTTCTTCCTACGGTCCTACAAATTGATTCCAACTTATATTTCATTTAATATCAAATTTCTATACTATATATATATTAATAGATAACAAATAGTATTTTATATTATATTTATCTGTATTTGTGTATTAATTAAATTTTACTTATTACCATATATTTGATTATTAACATTATATTAATTAAAACTAATGATCATTTTTAATAATAACGATAAGAAATTTCATTGATTATCTCGATTATAATATATTATACTTATCCGTTCACGTATATAATGAATTTAGTAATCAAAAATAAAAATGATGGTACGCAAGGACAGATATAATATATGAGTACATGATTCGTTTCATAAATTTATATATTATAATATGCAGAGGGTTAATTAATCAATCAATTAATTACGAAAAACAAAATGATAAACCCTCTACATATTATAACATACAGAAAATTAATTAATTAATCAATCGATTACCAAAAACAAAATTAATTAACCAAGAACAAATATAAACGAGTACACGATTCGTTCTATAATATACAGAGTGTTAATTAAAAAATTGAAAAAGGAAAGATATCAAATAGAAGTAGAAACGTAATATTATAAAAGAAAAATAAATGAATCAGACATTTTTGTCTCGTTACAGAGGCTACGTTGTCAGCACAAGGAACCCTGTAGGTTGTTCACCGTTCGTAAAAGAAGGAGTTCGCAGTTGGAAGAAGTTAATGCCTCGCCTCTTTGCCAATGTCCCAGGGGACATCGTTGTCCAAGACGTCACACGGATCCTGGATCATTGCCGGCAAGATCTTATTCTGGCATATTGGAGATCAAAACTTATAGCGGTTACTGCGTACCTTCTTCGCATCATCCTGAACCAGTCTACACAGTTTGAGAAAAAAAGAGAGAGAGAGAAAGAGAGAGAGAGAGAGAAAGAGAGAGAAAGAAAGAGAGAGAGAGAGAGAGAGAGAGAGAGAGAGAGAGAGAGAAATCTAACGAGAATGAAAAAAACAAGGACAACAAATATTTCTTCTTCTTCTTATTCCTATTCTTATTTTTCTTTTATTCTACGACAATTTATTATCTTCGTTAAAACATTAATATTCTCAACGAACAAACTAACAGAATTTTTCTCGTCTTAAGGATTCTTATCGTTTATTCCGAGAAATTAGGGAATAATATCGACGATTAAACGATTGGTTAGGTAAAATAAAAACGAACGGGGAACGACGAGTGGAAAGACATTTATTTTCAAAATCGTAATTCATTATTATGTATTTAGGAATAAGATAATTTAATTGTGACGTGAACGCAAAAACAAAAAAAAACAAAAAAAACAAAACAAAAAACAAAGTGCGAAAAAATATGTATTCTCGTCTGTCGAAGATATTTATTATTATTATAATAATTATTATTATTATTATCTTGTTTTTTCTTCTCATTTTCTTCTAAACATCTAACGTAGGAAAGAAAAGAAGGGGGGGGGGGGRGGCAGGGAAGAATTCGTTCGCGGTGCGACGATCCTAATTTCTCATCTCTCAAATTGACATTCGCGACAATCATGCGCGAGGAGTTGTTTGTAAAGAGCTTTAAAGTATCGTGAAAAAGAAGAAAAAAGAAAAAAAAAGAAAAAAAAAAAAGATCTTTTCTTTGATATTGTGTACGTATGCGTTAGGATGTTATTTCGTTGCTATGTTTATATTATTGATAGTTAACAGTTTTGTATAAACAGAATGTTATAGTTCGTTCGTTTCGATAATTATTTCGAATCCTGTTATATATACATATAGATATATAATTATATATAGAAATATATATATATATATAGATATATATAGTTACACGTATATATGTATATTAATAAGTATAAATTTCGAGCGAGTATCCTCGAGTAAAGGAATCGATTATCGAATCGAAAAAAAGGAAACTCGGTTACCTGGAAATACTCTCCTCCATTATCAACTTTCATAAAATAAATCATTTAGTGCTAGTTTGTTTCATTATCCCTTAGCAAGCGTTACATAATTTATGTTAAGCTCATTGTATTATTATTATGATTAATATTATTATTATTAT